TATGGAAACACAGAAATAACATGCATATAACGTTGGGATGCGTTTTTAACTGTTTGCATTCGATTCGTCATCTTATGTACAGCAACAAATGCCCCACCACATGCACGTATGTCATCCATGAAAGATCTATAATAGACGTCTTTCCTACGTGGTTAACACAACCCGGAAACAGTATTAATGAAGAACCATACACGAGCTATATATGAGCCTATTGTGCGAAGTGGAGTCATTGAGCTAACCCGTATTTACGCTTGCGTTAATTCCAGATGGTCGGACCAACGTTCATACGGTATTACACTCAGGAGATACCTCATACACGCCATGATATCGATGGCTGAAACCAACAACTTTCAGATCTTTGCTCAAAGAACGAAGGTCTGGCCACTTAGCCCCTAACCCATATCGAAACTGAAGAATCGACAAAAGAGGAATTCAAGCAGTGAATACCTTGCTCTAGTAGAAAGAGATTTTGAATACTCAAGGATAATTTGCATGAGAGTGAATCCTTGCGTCCGAAAAGGCAGAGACGTCAGCCTTCTTATCTGGCAGACTATGTACTTATATCATCTTGGGATGGGTGAATGTTTTATATTTAATATTTTGCGGCAACTAAATTATTATATGGAATTACAACAGCATGTTAGTAAATATGTTTCTTACATGTAACAATTGTTTTATGTGCAATTTTAGTTGATTAAAGTTTCATTTGAGCTTCTTAAGGAAAGTGATTTATTATATTTACAACAGCTTGCAAACCGGCTACTAGAAGGCACACTAATATTTTTTTTAACATATATGTTATGTGTTTTTCGATTATTTGTTCCTTCACTCAATCATACCAGTGGGGCTTAGCCCTACACGGTAAATTTGTTCCAATGTCCAACGCGTCATTTACGACATCCGTTAGCCTTGGCCTTTCACAAAATAAATCAGTAAATTTACTTACCAACTTTTCTATTTTCCCCTTTCTCCTCGGGTTTAAGGGCCGTTCAACTCAATAATGGAGGCTTGATTTTACATTCTTTTTTCTCTGCCAAGTTCAAACTGATAGTTGCGTCTTGAAAGTTAATTCGGGCTCCCGCGGACTTCAGAAATTCCATTCCTAAAATGTCCTTTGCTTGCAAATTTTTTACTACAAAAAAAGAAACTTTTTGTTGCTCAGTTTTTATCTGCACGTTGAGCTGCAATCACTGCCATACCTTTGGTGTTAAATAACAGATGGCATTTAAAATGCTGTCGATAGAAATTTTCCCCGAAAAAGTTACTCTGTGCTTCCGTATCAATTAAGATGATTATCGACATATTGTTCAATAGAATTTTATCTCCGGCAACTCTAAATTTTTTACCTCTATCGTATTCACATGTATTTTGAAAGAATTCCTTTCTTCCCAGTGCCCTTCAGAAGTTTAACTGCTGCGGTTTTGTTTCTTCTTGTTGCTGCTTATTTCCCTATTGGTAATCGCTTCTCTTCAGTGAAGTCTTTCTGCCGATTAAGTTTTCTTTTATTCTCCGGCTGCCGTCAATTGTCCGCCCTAGGCGTGCGAAAATTTCTATACTCTTGCCTAAACCTCTGCGTGCGCGAATTATTGGAAATGCGGCAGCTTTCGTACTTTGTCGCCAGCCCAAATAGAGTTTTCAAGGTCGTCAGGTTTCGAATTTCGATGAAATCTTGTGCTTGAGGGAGTAATCTTGCCAAGATGATTTGAATTACTTCCTTGTAGGGTTTTTTCCTGTATGACAATTTAATCAAGGTTTTTTTTTTCTGTATGACAATTAATCACTCGAATTTTTCGTAGTCTTACGTTTGTCAGATCTTCCTCTTTTCCCTGGTTTCAGCTATACAGTTCGGCTTCCAACTTTATGATGTTTTGTTCAGTTCCGTTTTCGTATTTTGTCCAAATTCCAAGAAACGATCAAAAGATGTGCGTTGTCCAACGTCGGTCAACAATGTAGGAGCTCCATGGTGAGGCAAGACGCAAGTATAAAATATATATAAACTTTATTTAACACATCAATAATAACATTTCGATGAGAAGGGAAATTCATGCTTCATGCACACCGTTCTCTTCTCGCCATCCGCAGAACTCACAAAACTTCGTACGGTGTTTCCATAGCAACACCACACATTTAAGGTGTTCATACAGGTGTAATATATGAAACGCCGTCTGAATCATTGTCACAAGATTCCGTTTCTTTTGAATCAAAATCGGAATCGCTGCTGCCAGTTTGAATTGTTAATTCATCCACTAAGTCTTTTAGAAGTTCGTCCTTGTCCCAATAAGAATTTTCAAGTTTTTCCACGTGGCTGCAGTACGCCTGCCGTTCATGAGAAAGGACTGCATCCAAGCTTTCTGCAATAAATGTTTCAGATTTAAGCTATGTCACCAGTTATATTCCTTTCCCTGATCAGTCTTTTACCTGATGACCAAACATATTTTATTTCATTTAGATCACAGTGGTAAGGACGGAGACGCATAACATTATGCCCATTTTCTTTTATAATGTTGTCAGTTTTATAGATTAGTTTTTTAGGACGACTGCATTCTATCAAGTTAAACAGTTCCACTTTTCGCAATTTAGAATCACAACATATCGCCTTCCTCATTAGCCAATTTACCATTGTTTGCTTTGTAGCATATTTCGGGAGTATCGGATCTTCAACTTTCGTGTGATATGGAGCATTGTCCATGGATACCACACTGTTAGACAGTAAATTTGGAAGAAGCTTTTCCAACACCCATTTTACGAAATTTTCATAGTTCATTTGCCCATGATAATCCCCGTTCTGAACTGATGCTTTGTATACATGTTGAGCACCTGAAAACAAATCCTGCGGAAGAGTCAGCATGGACAACGATCAGCCTGTTTTGTGAATTGACATTCATCTGTGCACCCCCAACCGTATCATGTTGCCAGTATTTCTTTAATGTTCAAATGCTGTCGATGCATGTTTCGTCGATGTAAACGATGTTTCCCGCGTTTTCTCATTTCTTGCAAATAATTATTCCTCCAAAATACAATATTAGGTCTTTCGAAAAGAATTTTTTTTTTAATTAATGGATTTCTTCAAGCGAAAATTCATTGACTCCAAAACTTTACACAAAGTGTCTTTGTGCCACGGGAAGTATATTTGTTTCCTTAACATAGGCAGAAATTTCCATACGGATGGCACTTTTCTTCGATCTAGAAGTCTTGTGTTGTCTGCCGTACAACATATTTATCAAAATATCAATTTTGCAGTTTCGATCAGCGGGTCTTTTACGATTCTTTGCAGGTGCACTTAATAGCTTATTTTCGCCCATTATCTATATTTCATGCTTACTTTTTTAAAACTGTATACTGCGATACTCCAGTAGCTTGAGATGTTGTTTTCAAAACTTGATGGAGAGGAACTCCGAAAGAGTTCACCGAAGCTTCAGAAACGTTAAATTCTGCAACACTGTACACGATTTGACGTGTCCAGATTTCAGAAGTTGACCTTTCTTAAACTGGAAAATCATTTAAAAAAATTGGCGCGAGTATCAAAGCACTAAAGAAGCAAGACAAATAGAAACAAATACTGGTATAAAAGAAATAACAACGAGAATAAAAATAGTTAAAAATAATATGAGGCTGAAGAGAAAATACGCATGTAACTCGGACAAAACACAGAAGACGAATGATAAACTCTTTTCCCCTTAGCCAGAAACAAAATAACAATAAAGCATTCCCTTGGTTTGCCCCTACTTGAAACATATTAGCTCTGTTGTTATAGCGACCGTCAGCAGCCAGACACTATGAGAAGAATGGCGGAAGCCATTCATTTCTCGATGCCCTATCGAGAAGACGCTGACTAGAAAACTGCCGATATTTTTCAGGGTCAAAGTAAAATACGAGCTCCTTAATGCGCTTATACGTTAAGTTTCGAATCCAGCATCATCTGACCCAGACACCTGAAATGACGAAATCAGGAAAGAACAGCTGGAAGATGGCGACATTAAACTCATAATGGACTTAATGAAATCTTCAAATAGGAAACCTACCTGGCAAGAAATTTCCATCAAAGATCCTCAGACAAAACAATACTGGGCTCTCTGGAACTCACTCCATATTCGAAAAGGCACATTGTTCCGGAAGTTCGAATCTGTTGATGGAAAGGCATTCTGATGGCAGCTGTTATTTTCAAGATCCTTGGTGTCCTTCAAGAACTGCATAGCAGTCAGATTGAAAGCCACTTCGGAATCATGAAGACTTTGCAGAGAGTTCGAGAGCATTTCTACTGGAGGTAATACAAGGGCTGACGCAAAAAAGTGGTGCCAATCATGCGATGCATGTGCGGGATGAAAGGACCAAAGAAAAGCAGCCGAGGGAAGCTGTAGTGTTAGAATGTAGGAGCGCCTTTTGAACGCATTGCTTTCGATATCCAAGGGCCATTGACACCATCTGCTAACGGCGACAAATACATCCCCGCTGTCACTGATTATTTAACAAAATAGTCTGAAGCATATCCTATCCCTGATCAAGAAGCTGCCACAGTATTAAATGTAATGATACAGCATTTTATTCCTATACTGAGTACCTCTTAAATTACACTCTGATAACTGAGGGAATTTTGTTTCCACTCTAATTAAAAAACTGCGCAAGCATGGAAAAACCCACACAACGCGTTTCATCCGCAGTCAGATGGCATGGTAAAGAGGTTTTATTGAACCATTCTTTAATAACCTCTCGCTGACGGTTTCCAAATTGCCCCTGTTCTTACTGGCCTATCGCAGTGCTGTCCACGAGACTACCGGCTATTTTCCATCCTACATGCTCTTCGGTCATGACCTTCACCTACCTTGTAATCTGTTGTTTGGTCGTTCTCCGGATGCTCCTTTATCGCCTGAGGAGTGTATGCAGGATCTGCAGACATGGTTTGAAATGATGCACAGTTTTTCACGAGAGCGAGGCAGCTTAGCAACGGAGATGAAGACATATACTCTTAACTTTTCTTGTTAATGGACTGTAAATGAATTCTCCAGAAACTGGCTTTTGTTTTAAGTTCTAGAGAGATGAAATAGAATATGTGTAATACAATTTTTTAATAATTTTATTAATTATTCCTTTCAATAATTTGTTAAAAGCTTTTCATGGGTAGGAATAAGCCTAAAACTAGTTTAGAAAGTCTAAAAAATTTAGAACTTTTGCTCACATTTCCAGTATCAAATATTTCTCTTAATGTAGTTGAATGGAACTTCTGTAAAAATACATTTTTGCTATCTTTTTCTTTGGTAGAATAACATTTTGTAAAAAAAAAAAAAAAAAAAAAAAAAAAAAAAAAAAAAAAAACATTTAGAATTAAAAAGAAATTTACATTGTTGATTCCATAGTTTGCACTATTTTGGAAAGGCAAATAAGAATTAAAATACATATATGTCAGCTGTTCTTGCTGCCTCCCTCCTCTGCTTAGGTATAGCTATATGTTTCCTGATGGCTTATTATGAAAAATTTGGCTTAATATTAGAGAAAAAGAACTTAGGTTAACATCAATAAAATTTCAGCTACATGGTTATCATATCATAACTTATTTTTAGGTTAAGTATTTTGCCCCATTTTGCAGTTTGAAATATTCAAATTCTCAATATTGTGTGATTTTTAATCCTCTAAGTGTTATGGATGTAAAAGTCTGTATAGAAAGGTGATTTTCCAATTCAATACACATGAAAAATTTTGACAGATTTTAATGTATCTGATTTCAGGTTGGGTGCATACTGGAATAAAAGGAGTTACAGTACAAAGTTAAAATGTCGTTTTCAAATTATAATCAAGAAAATTCTATTTATTCATGACATTCTGAGAAATTTTTTAATTTCAGAAAAAAAAAAAACCACAGCGTCGAAAGGGTTAAAATTTAGCATTAATATATGGAAATATTTCGATCTCATTAATTTAATCAGGAAATAACAGCTAATCAAATATTTCAAACATTTTCAAAGCTGAAAAGGAAAAGTGTTCTTTACAATGAATCTTAGATGCTGCTGCTGTAATTAAGACTTGAGGTTATGCGTAAATAAAAAATAAATAAAAAATGGATAATTAGCATTTTAAAATCTTAAACTGCTCCTTCTGCACATTTACTTTACTTCTACATTAATTTAATTTCACTAAAAAAATATGCCAAAAATGTGACTGGTGTTTGTTCATGTGCACTGGCTGCCTTGTTGTAAATTGTGAAGGCAAGCATACCAACTAAAGTTTTCTTTCTTTTTTTCCATCACTTCTCAACAAAGGAGATATTGATAAACAAGTGGAATAAAAACTCAACATCAAATTTTAGCGAAATTTGGAAAAATCTCTCAGGAAATTCATGAAACATTGCGGGAATTTTTTTCTGAAGAATAAAGAGTGAATATGACCAAATTTATGTAATGATGCTCCATCTCAACAATGATCTCATAATGACTGTTTGCTATTTTGATAGCCTCACTAGATCACACTACCTCTCATCAGATTTGGCCCGTTCAGAATTTTTTAATTTATGAAATACAAAAGGGTCATGTGGGAGTGGCAATGGAATGATATGGAGATAAAAAAACCTGAAATGATGAGGCAGGTGAAAAGCTTGATTTCTGAAGACGTCCAAGCATAATCTGAACAAAAGAAACACAAATGGAGTAAATGGGGAGCAATTTGAAGGAAATAAGGTTGATGTACCCTGAATTTTGTAAAATAAAATTTTTATGTCCTAAGTTTGCATATTTATTTGATAGATTCTCTATGTTATCAAATGCTTTTTCTAAAACTATAATATAAATTCTAAAAGTAATTTGCTATGTTACCTTATAACCTGCTAATTGTTTTGCTTGATTATAGCAAACACAGGTGAACGAGTATTAATACTGAAATCTTATTCTGATTTAGATGTCAGCTCTTTGGCTGCAACATGAAGATTACTTAGTTTAATTCTTTTGAAAAATCCTTCATAAAAATGTCTCTCGATAGGAGAGAAATGCTTTGCTGTTTTGCTCTTCAATTTACACTTTATCTTCAGGTACTTTCTTATAATACTACTATTAGGCTATATGAATAATAACCAAAAATTTAATTTCTGTCCTCCAAAAATAAAGTTTATAATTTAAAAAACTAAAATTATGTCATTCAGAACTGGCTTTTAATCAAATTTGGCTGCCATGTATTTATAACATTTTTGCGAACAACTCTGCCAAAATAAAATAAAATGATATATAAATAGTTATAATATTCTCTCAGATATAAAATATGCTTTGCTTCACAGTCATATAATACTATTAATGAAGGTAAGAATTTTGTCATTGCTTTTAAACAAGCTCAGGCCTCAATTGGCTAAGACAGCTGGAATACTGGTAGTTCAAATGAATTCGAATCCAGGAGGTTTGAATTCACTTGACTATGTGGTTGGTTTTCATGGTTTTCTCCACACATAATGCGAAGGCTACTTTAAAACCTACCATTCTACCTTAAAAAGTCTTTTATGAAAGCATTCCTGACCTTAGGCAGATAACCTTTGTGTGCTTTGCCATATCCAAATAACCTAAACTATCTCTGCAAAATCATGATGTCTGTAAATTATTATTTGCATATTAATATTAAAACTTTTTTTAAAATCAGTAATATGTATATACTAGAATTAAGCTAAAGGTAATGAAATCAACTAACCATGAATTCAATTTAAACAATTGACATACAATACTCATAACATCACACACAATACTCATAACATCAATATTAATGCAACAAACATAAAAAATGCCCCAAACATACCTGTTTCATTATTATTAATACCAACAAATGCATGTTGTTGCATCCCAAAATTCTGAGCATCTCGCAGTTGTTGCTGAGAAAAATATAAAGTTTACCAAAATAACTATTAAAACTGTTAACAATGTAAACATACAAGAAAAGTCAAATTATATTTTCTTGGAAAAATTCATCTTTCATTTTTAAGACTAACAAAATTTACTTACCTCCAATCTTTCAAGCTGAAGAACTAAGGAATTCTTTTCTGTACTTAGTGCTTCAACAAGGGTTTGCTTTTGGATGAGGTTTTCAGTTAGAGCATGAAGACGAGACTCTAGTTCATCTTGGCTCACAGAGCTGAGAGATTTTGCAGTAAGCTTTTGAATTTTTAGTAAAATGTACAATTACTATTGTTATTTTGTTATTGTTTAATTTTAATTCATCAGATAATAACAAAATATATTTTGGCAAGTTTCTGCAGATTTAAGAATATGCATGACCCAATATATCTAATAAGTAAAACTTGTATATACATAAGTGCAACTGCCTTCAGATATCATGAGATGTGACCACTCCAAATATTATTGATTTGGAACAGAAGAAATTCTTTTCCTGGCCATTTAAAAGAAAATTATAAGTATAATGATACTATTTCTTAACACATTAAGCACCATGTCAATCATCGATGACTAACACCATACTTTCCATTCAGACCATGCCAATCACTGGTAACAAACACTATACTTTCCGTTTGGATTGCATCAATTATTGTTGACTGACAACATACATTTTGCTCGGGCTGCATCATTCACTGTTGGCTGACACTACACAATTTAGAAAATGATATTCTTCTATCAAATTCTACAAAGATCTCTGGGCACCAGCTCATGTGAAATCAAATTTTGCAGGCTGAACAGAAAGGAATATAAAACACGCTTAGAGTTTCATGTATTAACTATGCCTATCTCTCAATTTACATGGAAGATAGGTTTCGGACAAAACCGTGTAAATTGAAATCTTGGATTTTGCTATGTAAAACCGTATAAAATGAAAAACACACTAAATGTATATAATTTAGTTACTTATTTGCGTAAAACAAAAGTAAGACATCTTAAAATAAATAAAGTTATACTTTTTCATAAAATAAATATATTTAGGTAATAGAAGTATGCATTTTATTTATTTTACATTATGAAAATATTAGATCATTCAAAAAAATTATTATAAGTTTAATCACTGTCATCACTTTCATAAACTATTAGTGTTTCTTCTTGATTGGTATGATATCACTTTCATCACTTGAGCATTCTTGATAAGATTCTGTTTCAATGGTTGACGAATGGGAAGATCTCAGATTGACAAGACTTTGAGTGAAATCCGTAGTTAACAATTGCCTAGGTTTTTTTTCTCAAATCTTTCTCAACTTCCTCATATTGATTTTTTCTCATATTGATTACTAAGCTCTCATTGGAATCGGAGAGCTCATTCAACATTTATGTTAGATTGTAAAAAATGATTACCTAATTTTCTTCCCAAACTCCTACGCTGATTAGTGATCTGAGAATATTCATGCTCTAATGGTAATCTATCATTCTCAATCTTTAACAGCATCTGGCCATACTGCTTTCCAGCATGCGTTGAGCGTTGATTGTTTAATCTGAGTATTAGACAGTCCAATATGCTTATCACAATTTAAGATTGTAAATTTCTTCCAAACATCCATAAGAGTAAGAGATTCATCATTCTCCATTTGCTCTAAAATACACCTGAAGGTTTGTTTGATATACAATGCCTTAAAAGTCAAAATTATTCCTTGATCTAATGGCTGTAATAAGGAATTTGCATTCTTTGGTAAAAAGACAACGTCTACATTTTCGTGTTGTAAATCTTGAGGATGACCAGGTACATTATCAATTGATAAAGAGCCTTAAAAGGCAATCCCTTTTTACTTAAATAATTTTTGACATCTGGGACAAACATATTATGAAACCATTCATTGAAAGCTATGGCAGCGACCCATGCTTTTTTACAAGCAACCCAATAAACGGGAAGGTTATTTGTGTTTATTCCTTGTTTATGATTTGTTAATAACCAATGCTTTCATTATATAATCGCCTGAAGCATTGCAACAGAAAAGAATTGTTATACGACTTTTCCTTACCTTATGACCACTAGCTGATTTGCAAGCTTTAGCTAAACAGGTTCTCTCAGGCAATTTTCCAGAATAATCTGGACTCGTCGCCACTAATGATGTGATCAGAAGTATAGGAATTGGCAGCAATGATTTGAGCAGATTTTGCTAGGTACTGTTGTGCTGCATACGAATCAGCAGATGCACTTTCTCCTTTCAATCTTAGATTATGCAAAGAATGTCTTTGTTTAAATCTCTCAAACCAACCATAACATGCGGAAAGAGATACCTTTTTTTTCATCTGATGAAGTTGACAGTGCCCGATTCTTAAGTGCTTTATAAACTTGAAAGCTTCATTTGTAATTGCATTAGTATCAACTGGATCCATTTTTGATTTTGGTCTTGTATCCATATCACTATGTCTTTTCCATATTTTTCATTGTATCATCTCTTACACATGAAATTGTGTTCTTACTGCTGCAAGTTCCAGCTGCTACACTTTTTCTAATAGAGTCATCACTTTTTTTTTTTTTTAATTGTCTTTCTTGTGGCTTCATTCCTGGAGTAAAATTTAGCAACATCTGTTATTCTTTCTCTATTAGGTAGACAATCTAATATTTTAATTTTTGTTTCTAAAGAAATAACTTTTCTTTTCTTTGATATTATTTTCAAATCTTTTGGCATTATAAAAGCTTAAAAAATTTACGTAAATTATAAAAATGCCACAAAAAATATAAATGTTGAAAACTTAACCAGTAAACATTCAAATATGTAGACAAAAATTATGTAAGCTTTGCTACTAAAATACTGATATTGCACTAGTTCACATGAACCAAAAAAGCTTTACTATTGTGAAATACATATACATACTAGGAGGATTCCCCATTTACAACACGTAGAATCCCCATCCTTGTTGTTGCCACCAGCGTTACCAAAGGAATGAGATTAAAAATTGTCTTCAAATATATATATTTACATATATGCAGCCGAATATACATTTTTACCAAGTTTTTGAAATCTGTTAATTTTTAAACCTGTAAAATGAGTACCGTGTAAATCGAGGGATAGGTGTAATTCTATTTTTTTTATCTGAAAGGGATCACAATGATTTATGATACATTGAAGTAATGTAAAAGTACTAATAACAAATAACTACACCTTCAGATTACTTTCTTTAAATTAAATTTAAAAAAAAGATTAAAAAGATTTTATTATTAGTGCAAGAGTTTTGACACCTATTTGTATTTTA